CCACTCTGCTTCCAGACTGGTCTCCTTGGGGATGTTTGTAAGAGTAGTTATTTTGGAATTGCTACTCTGCTGTTCTGGCTTGTTCAGAACAATCCCCCCGTAAGAAAACCAGCCTGGAATAAAAGGGATTTTGCTCTGCAATAATGGCTGTAAGCAGAGCAATGGGTTTGGGACAAAATCACAGTAATTTGGGTTTTCTATTGCCAGTTATTCTAGTATTTTCTCTGTAGAGATGAGGCTCTATTAACCATAACAGCCTGTGACACCTGTGTTGTTTGCACCTAGACTCTTTGCAGGACTGTGGGCTCCCTGGGCTTGGGCAGAATCCTGCCTGCCTGGGGGGCTCTGGCTTGTGGGGCACCTCAGGCCAGTTCCCAACAGCTGTTGGAAGGCAACAGTCACCCAGAGGAGTCTCAGCTGCTGGGCTGATCATTGGGTTTGGGTTGAATAGGCAGGGGTGATGTTCAGCTCTGAGCAGAGGCCAGACAGTAGCCTGGCACAGCTGTGCAGGTACAAAAGGACTCTGTTTCCAGGGCTGTTAGCTTGGCATCCATCACTAGCACAAAATCCATAGGTAAAGATAATGCATGGAGAGTAAAAAGGAGGTGAGTTGTGCTCTGCTGCTGCAGCACTGTGTGCTCTTGGCTGGCTGCTGGCTTGGTTGAGAGCACAGCAACAGCCTCCTGTGAGAGGAAATCAAAGTTCTGCCCTCTAAGCCATGTCCTGATCTGTTAAGAAAAGACAGCTTCAGTTGTCCTTTGGTGCACTGGGTCAGGGGTTCCTGGTCTGTCATCAGATTTATTAATTGAACTTAGTCCTGTTGCTCTAGAATTGCAGATTATGCAGTCCTGCAAACTATACCTGTCAGTGGTTTTCATTTTAAAACTACAAAAGGATGGGTTCTTGCTGGTTTTACTTCCCTTCTTCCCTCTTCTAATCATGTACCAAAGTCTCTCAGTGTTAGGTCTCGAGAGGCCAACTCAGTCAAGCTGATATCTAAGGACGGGTTTTCAAATGAGTTAGCTGGACAAGATGAGTTACAGTCACTTTCCTTACCTACATGGTCGCCCTGGCTGGATGCCCAGACCACCACATACCTGGGCAGTATGAAAATCTGATTGTGAATTTCCATTTTCCTATGGTCTGAGTCCAAAAAAAAAAAAAAAAAAAATAGAGCTGGGGGAAGGTCCAGGTCTCTGGTTTCCAGCCCAGTGCATGGTGTTAATTCCAAGTGAACGAGTGGAGCTGTGGAAGTGCTGTGCCAGCTCCCTCTTTCTTCATGCACTCGACTGAAGGACTCACTTGTGTGAGATGGGCTGTGTGAAAGGGCTCTGCTGCAGTCACCACATCCATCCCCTGCTGCTGCTGCCAGCCCAGGAATCTGCTGGTCTCGGTCTGGAAGTGAATTTTGGCTGCTACTGAGTACAGCAAATAGTCTCAAGCTTTGTGACGTACTCGATGCCTCTTACCCTCTGTCTACATGCATCTGACATCTCAGTTTCCAAGTGAGCCCAGGAAAATGAGGATTTGGTACATCCCTTCCTCCCAAAGGCTCCAGTGCAGTCTGATGCAGCTGTCAGTCTTCAACAGCAGCACTGGTGCTGTTAAAAAGCTCCTGACATCAGTAGGAGTAGCACTGATACAGCAGAAAGAGTAACAGGATGAGTGCAGAGGAAAGCTTCATGGCTTCTGAGAAGGGACAAGATGCCATGAACTGGACACTGATAGGATACTGCCTGGAAACAGCACTGCTGGGGGTGAGCATAGGGAGGAAGCTGGTGGGTCAAGCAGCAGGGTGAGGAGCTCAGTGGCTCTGGCCTCACAGTCTGGCTAGACCTTGGAGCTGCAGGAGCTGCCCAGGCTGGGTGTGCTGATAGCAGGACTGTGCTGGAGAAGGTTTGCTTCTCTTCCCCAGGGTGCACACTGGAGCCAGACAGGCCAAGGATGACTTGTCAACCAGAAGAAATGCCAAGCAAGGGAAAAGGTTGTTCTTGGGCCACGGGGTATGTCTGAGCCAGCAAAGAGCATTGCATTTGGGAGAGTTACAAGGCTCCTGTCACACAGAGGGTCAGCACTGCTCTGTGATGGGATTTTCCCTGCGGCAAGGTTCTGAAGCCCCTTCTTGTGGATGACTGGTGTGTTTCGGCAGGGGTTGTGCCTCGCCAGCTGTCCCTGTTCTCTCTCCTGTGCTGCCTTCTTTCAGCAATACAGCTGAGGGTGTTCCCCTGGGCAGCTGCAGAGCTAGTCCCAGACATCTCTAATGGGCCCATTATGCCAGATGTGTTCACTGCTTTTGGAAGAAAATAGAACTGATTAACACCTGAGCTGGTGCACAAGGCTCCCGAGACAGTGTTAAAGGAATATTAATGAGCGCACGCTGATTTGGAGAGCAACTCTCACCATGCTGTCAAACACACATGTTGGTTGGGTTCTTGGGACGCTGGATGGCCTGGGGGGTGGCCATTGTTACCAGTCCTCCTAGTCAGGCTGCCACTTCGAATCTAGGCCAGGCTGTGTTAAAGAGAAATGTCCACTTCAGTTGCTGTGAGAGCTGTTTGGATCAGTCATCACCTACGAGACAATACTCACAGCCTAGGAAATGCTCCAGCTTGTTTCTTCAGCATGGTTGTCTCCCATCAGCCCCAACAGCTCCTGAGCATCTCTCAGTGTATTGCTGGTCCTGGCTGCAGATCAGTGATTGCTGCTCAGGGAAAGGCTGTGTTGCCTTGTGAATAGGTATTGGGGTTGCCTAGCACTCTGGGAATGGAACTTAGCTAAAACTCAGAAGAATTCCCATTGTTCTGCACAAAATTTTGTGCATTGCTTTCTTTCTCACCCTTTTCTTTACCTATACCTTTATCTATACCTTGGATTCAGACCTTTCTCCTAATGGCAGTATGGGAAGTAGCATCACTGAGCTGTAAAACAGCTCCTGCATGGTCCCCTTAGCCAGCACGCCTGAGAGTGCTTACTGTGACATCTGCTTTGGAGCTGGAGTCTCGAATGTCCCTGGTGCAGCAAGCTAAGCTATCTGAAATGTTCCCTGAGGATCTTTGCTGGTGGTATGTCAACAGGAATATGCTGAGAGGAATTCGACTGAAAGGGACAACACTCCAATGTGTTCCCTGCAGATGTCTGCAGAGCCTTCGGAAAGGCTGCTGAAGGAAGAGAAATTGTTGGACCCATCAGCAACTGCTCAGCAAGGATCTCACTGGCTACCCATGTGTGTTGGAGTTGCAGGAGAGCATTGCTCGTGGAAGAGATCTTCATCCAGGGGACCCTCAGAGCTGTATGTGGACAATGGCACAGGTCATCCTAGTTCACATGGGCAGTGGAAAAGTGATGAGTGTAGGCTAGTTGTTGTAACTTTTCCTTTCCAGTGTGAGCTGTGTCCTTCCCAGCAAGGCTCTTCCTACGACATCTGCAGAAGGGCTGGTGCCTCCACACAGCCCTTGCCTCAGTTCTGCATCCCCTTGAGCTCACAGCTGCCACTGTCCCTCTCTGCAGCAGGCACAGGAGCCTGGTTTGGCAGGGAGCAGTGCTGTGCTGCTGGAGCAGCTGTGAAACACTTCTCCCAGGCTATTGTTCTGCTGTGCATCAGCTTTAAAATTCCTGTAAACTGCATATTGTCGATCCAGCTGTTTCTAGGAGAACACAAGTTAGGTGTGAAATGGTTATCTGGCTTCTGAGTCCAGGCAAGGTAAACCCTTCAGTATCCCCCCAGAAAAAAGGAGACCTGGCCAGCAACCTTTTCTGCAGGAAAGATTCACAGAATCATTAAGGTTGGAAAAGGCCTTTAAGATCATTGTGTCCAACCTAGGACCTAACACCACGGCACTAAGTGCCACATCCAGTCTCTTCTTAGAAACTCCTCCAGAGATGGTGACTTCACCATCTCCCTGGGCAGTTCATTCTGGTGTATAATCACCTTTTCTGTAGAGAAATTAACGTTCAACCTAAACATCCCCTGCAGCAGCTAAAGACTATATCCTCTTGTCCTGTCACATGCTGCCTGGGAAAAGAGGCTAACACCCACCCGGCTACAACCTCCTCTCAGGTAGTTGTAGGCAGTGATAATGTCACACCTGAGCCTCCTCTTCTCCAGGCTAAATAACCCCAGGTCCCTCAGCTACTCCTCACAGGACTTGTGTTCCAGATCCCTCACCAGCTTCATTGCCTTTCTCTGGACATGCTCCAGCACTTTAATGTCCTTCCTGAAGTGAGGAGCCCAGAACTGGACACAGCATTTGAAGAAGACTGCCCATCCCAGTCCACTGTTCTTTGCCTTTGCCATCACTTCTGCTGCAGCCTTGAGTGGAAATGATGGACACTTGTTTCATTCTGGCATGGTGTAGGGATGATTTTTGGGGTGGATAGCAGGTAACCCTCTCTGTTAACTCTTCTTGTTTTTCTTCCAGTGCTCACCCAGTGTCGGAGAGAGGCAAGAAATAAAGCTGCCAGTGGTGAAAGCAGCCCATCATCTTTAGACATTGACAAGTAAGTAGGTATGCTTCCTCCTCCAAGACTGTTTCCATGCTTCTGTTCTAAGCTTGACTGTGGATGTCTTTATTCCTGTACAAATGCTGGTCATTGGCTTTACAGCAGTGTTTCCCAAAGAAATTGCCTTCCCTCAGTGCCTCTTGTTGCAGTGCAGGCTATATTTAAACTGAAGGAAGAGGATTTTGCTGTTCTCAGATTGTTTATTTTTGCACTGATTTCCTTTCAGCCCAATCCATGGCAGGTCAGGGGTGTGTGGTCTCTGGCTGCTGGGGGGGGGAGCTGTAGCTAAAATGGTGCTAACTCAGCTGGTTTCTAATGGGAGGTTTGAGGTTGGTAACCCCAGGAAAAGAAGAGGCCAGGACATGGAGGCTGTCAACATGGCACCTGTAGTGATATTCTTAATTAAATTAGACTTTCAGAATAGCAGTGGCTTTGTTTAATCTCTTTCCATGCAGCCCCTCCTCCTGCCACCCACACAAAGCATCATAAGAGAGGATCTGACAGTAAAATCCCTGCTATGGAAGCAATTTTGCTGTTACAAACAGTGGATGGCAACATCACTAATGGAATTAGGCTAATTATAGAGAGGACAGCTTCTGTTTAGACACATTATCTGGGTAATCAGCACTGACTGGAAAGAAAATACGGGAAAAGTGCTGCAGAGTTTTGCTCGATGGGGGCTCTCCATATACATTTCAGAGCCTAGGGTGTTTCACTAAGAGAGTACTACCATCAAACTGAACACAGTGCTGCTGGGGCTGGTCCCTGGGGGCTCATCTCTTCTTAGAGATGGTCCATTCCTGAATTCAGCTCCCTGGGTGGATACTCTCCTCCTGAAGAACCAATGCCCTGGTCCCTGCTGTGGGAGCTGGTGTGGAAGTGAGTGTAGCTGTGACCTTCATCTTCATAGCTGTGACCATGCCTGACCTTCATCTCCTTTCTCCCAGAATAATTTTCTTCCCAAGAACACTCAGTCATGCTGCATGAGCCTGGGCATCTTCTACCCAAACAAGGTGGTTTGAGGAACAGGCTGAGCTAACCCCCCAGCAGGAGCATGTGCTCCGCAATTCCTCTCCCTTCGTGGCATGATGTAAAATGGAGACAGTGTAGAGAAAGACTTGATTTACTAGTCAGACAAGTTCATCCAGCCCTGGTAAAATGTCTCTCTGATTTAACACACTTGGTTTGCTTTTCAGGCAGAATTTAACTCCCCTTTGCAAAGCCCTTGCACTTCATTTCTGTAGATTTTGACAGGGTGCTTTATGTCTGGGGAGAAATCAGTGGTGTTTGAGATAGTTAGATGAGCAGATTTGATTACCGTCCCGCTGCTGCAGCAGCAGGATACAGTGGAGCAGGCAAGGAAAACTGATAATCACTCAGTCTTTGCAATTGGTGCCGGTCTGACCCCACTGAGCGAGACTGGATCTGGTGACACATCTTCTCCGTGGCGTGGCCTGGAGGAGGAAAGTCACTGCTGGTGGTTGGGAGCCCGGTGCAGGGTGAATCCTAATGCAGTGCTCTGTCCTTTGCTGCCTGGCAGGTGTGAGAAGTGCTACCTCTGTAAGTCACTGGTGCCACTGCTGCAGTATCAGAGGCACGTGGACAGCTGCCTTCAGGCTGCTAGGCAAGCTCAGGGAACCAGGAGGCTGCGAAGAGCCAAGGTGAGGGGCGACCCTGCAGACCATCTCCTTTGCTTTGCGCTGGGTGTGGGGCTGGGTTGGCAGCAGGAGCCGCTTCCGTGGTTGACAGGGATGAGCTGACCTGATGTAGGATTGCCTATCCCTGTGGGCCACTGTGGGCAAAGAACTCATTGCCCTCCTTCCCGCGACGCTGTGTGAGAGCACAGACCAGTCCCAGGGGTGAGCTAATCCAGCAGAGCTGCCAGTAACCTCTCCAGCAGGCAGACAGCCAGGGCTGTCCCGCTGCCAGCCAGCACGCCTCAGTCCTGCAGCCTTCCTCGGCTGAATGTCGATGGAGCGGAGGGCAGCGTCAGGATGACAAGCCTATCTGACTATATCCACAAGCCCATTCCCTTGGGGAAGGCTTTGGAACCAGAGCAGGGGGAACTGCTCAGTGTTGGGAGCAAACCGCAACATCCCAGGAGAATTGTGAGGGAGTGAGTGCAGTGTGCCTGGTGTGGGGAATGTGCCTTGCTAGAGGAGGTGGGAGGCAGGAGTCTGGGTGGCAGCTGGCTCACAATCATTCGCCAGGTGTTGGCCCCCACTGAGCTTCTTTCTGCTCGTGGCGATCCCAAGGAAGCACAGAGAAGGTCCTTCCAGGCCTTCCTGCTGGTTCCTGCAGGCAAAGTCCTAGTGCTGCAGCTTTGCCTGTGCTCAGAAATGTGATTCACGGCATGAAGATGCAACATGATGTCTTAGTTTTGTATAATCCCTTAAATCCATCACAGGCCTCAGCCCTTTGGGGATTCAGATGCAAATGATGAGATTTCTGGTTGATGATTTTGGCTGGGATACAGCCAAGTGCTGTGTGGTTCAGAGTACTGCAGGGCATGGCTGCTCCTGCATGTGTCCAGCTCCATGGGGGCTGTTTGACTCTGTCCCTGTGCCCCACAGCTGGCTGCTGTGTGGGTCCTGCACGCACACACAGGCACGGGGTATGGGGGAAAGATGTTGGAGCCAAGTGGCTCTTTGGGTTGACTCAGCAAGGCTCTGTGTTACCTCGGGCCTTGCCTTGTGTCAAGTGGCAGCTCAGTGGGGGAACAGGTCTTGCCTGGACATGGGCTGGGCCGTTGGAAGGCTTTCCAGTGACACTGTTGGACTTGTGGGTTCCTGCCATGGCCCATTTTGGGGTGCTTTGCACTTCCAACCCCATGGCTGAGACATCAATGCCTTCTAGAACAGTCCTGGGGGCAGAGAGGGGACTTTGCCAGCCCAGTAAGGCTCAAAGCAACCAGGTCAAATGGTCTTCCCTTAGCCTGCGTGACCGGCATGGCTGCATCTACCAAGGGGCTGAGAGGGGGCACAGGAGATGTGTGCCTAGCCTGGCTGTGCCCTGAAGAAAAGCACTTCCCTCCAGCACCAAGCCCTGGTGTCTTTGAACAGAGCAGGATGAGCCTGTCCTCAGAAGTGCAGAGGTCCTGGGGGATATGTCCCAGCTGTGGCAGAGCCCCTGGTGCTCCCGTTTCTGTTACAGCCCCGTTTGCCAGCTAGGCTTGGGGTGGCTTCCTGCTCCCTCCTTACTGGGTTCTGCTTCATTAACTGCTCTGTGCTGCCTCTGCTTGAGCAGTGCCCTTCCTGTGGGTGGCTGGAGGTCCTGGACATGCAGCATTGCCTCTTGTGTCCAGCCTGATGCTGTGGCCTAAGGGTACATGTGCCCATGGGCCCACCCTGGCTAAGGGGTTCCCTCTGGCAGCACTGTGATGGTGGTTCTTTTCTTGGCAGGACATCAGAAGGCAGGAGGGAGGACTCCTCAGGATGCTGGAGCTCTCGGAGAGCAAGTCTGCAGGTGAGAAACTGCTTTCTGTGCCTGCCTGGCTGGGTTAGGGCTGCCCTTTCCCAGCTCTCCCCTTTTGATCCCAGCTCAGCCTGTGCTGTGCTGAGAGAGCAAATTCCCTTTGGAAGGACCCGTACTTCCTGAGCAGAGCAGGAGGCTGTGGGCTTAGCTGTCTGTCAGCATTCCCTAGCACACATCCCTGCCTGTGCCTGCTGGACCTGTGCCAGCACCCAGAGCTCTTGCAGGGGTAAGGGTGTGCTCTGAGCCGTTGCACCAAGACACGTTCAGCTTCCTGGGGGATGTGGGAGCCTGCTCGTGTCCCTGTCTGTGCACCAGTGCTTCCCTCCATGGATCCGAGGACAGGAGGAGATGAGTGGGGAGCGATGCTCTAAGGGGCTGATGTCCACTCTTGTTGCAGGTGCTGATGCGGGGACCACCCACACTGGATTAGGAGACCAACAGTCCCCTTCTGCCCTCTCAGCTGGAGACGGGGAGTTGCCAGCAGACAGCCCCATCTCCCTTCAGCACCTTTCTTTCCACATCTCCCCTGCTAAACCCGGCGTCTCCTCTGAAGCCATGGACGGTGTGGTGGATTCAGAGCCGCGCGCGGCTCTCCGCGCAGGCAGCCAGCGGCAGAACAGAGGCTGCCGCCGGAGAAAGCACAAGTTCTGAGCCCAGTGATGCAGCAGGGACCCCTGGCAGCTCCCCGTGCCCTGGCGAGGGTCTTCTTGGCACCGTACCTCTGCTTCACCTGCAGCCTTTGTCTCCCAGCCCCTTTTCTATGTTTTATACGACCTCTGCGGGGAGCGCCGGGTGGAGAAGCGACTGTGTGTTTTATAGGTGCCTGTGCAGCTTCGCTCTCTGTTACAGAAATGGAAATATATTTATGTATGTTTTTATGAAACTGCAGCACCGCGGCAGAGCTGTGCTGGCTTTCCCTGGGGAATGGGAGGGCGCTGGAGGGAGGAGAGGAGGAGCAGCAGATGCTGGGTCCCAAATCACCCTTCCCAAGGCCTGTCCTGGGGCTGGTGATGGGGGCTCAGGGACCCCTGGGGAGGGGGCTGCAGTGCCCCGTGCTCCATGCAGCAGCACAGCAGTGACATTCCCAGCCGGGAGTGGCGGAGGGC